CTGAGAGGCCAAAAGCACCTCTTGAAAAGTATTGTTAGGCGAAAGCCGGCTCACGGTCATAATCATCAACCTGAAGTCCATAGTTCTTCTGTTGGTGCATGTGTTGAGGTGGGGAAGTTTGGGCTTGAGGAAGAGGTTGAAAGACTTAAGCGAGACAAGAATATTCTTATGCAGGAGCTTGTTAGGTTGAGACAACAACAGCAGAACACAGAGCATCAATTGCAAAATGTAGGGCAAAAAGTGCAGGTGATGGAGCAGAGACAGCAACAGATGATGTCTTTTCTTGCCAAGGCCATGCAAAGTCCTGGCTTCCTAAACCAGCTAGTGCAGCAGCAGAGTGAAAGTAACCGGCGGATTGCTGGAGGCAATAAAAAAAGGAGACTTCCCAGACAAGATAAGGAAAATCCCAGTGGCCATGGTGTTGGCTGTCCTAATGGACAGATTATTAAGTATAAGCCTTCAATTAATGAGGCAGCAAAAGCAATGCTGCATCAAATCTCGAAGTTGAACACATCAGCTAGGCTGGAATCATCAGTGAACAACCCCGCAAGTTTTCTTATCAATGATATTCCTTCTTCTAGTGTGCTAGAAAATGGGAGCTCCTTGAATGGTGTTTCTGGAGTGACATTATCGGAGGTTCCACCAATTTCTGCACAATCTTTTATGTCAACTGAATCAAGATTTCCTGCCAGTTGCATAGCTACTTCAGTTTCTGAGTTGCAATCCTCCCCTCATATGGTAACTGATTCTCCCAAAGCAGGTCAAATTCCTGAAATGAATGTCCATCATTCTCGAGACGAAATAGTTCTGCCGGGTTCAACTCAGATGCAAGATAATATGCTGGGAACCACCATTGGAGCCTCTGACACAAACTTCATGGTGTCTGAGGCTGGGAATCCAGAGTATATGGATAGAATTTCAGCTGTCTTGGATGGAACAGATGCTATAGAAACTGATTTTGTCTCTGAGGACCATGATCTGGCCATCTTTCTTGATGGGGCTACTCAGCTTCCTGGAATCAATGATGCTTTCTGGGAGCAATTTCTTGCAGCAAGCCCGTTACCTGTGGACACAGATGAAATTAGTCCTACATCGTCGGAAAGTGTAACAATGAAATATCAATTGCAGTCAAGTGAGAATGGATGGGACAAGATTCAACATATAAATCATCTGACTGACAAAATGAGTCTTCTCACCTCAGAGTCTCAAAAAGGATGATTTCATGTGTTATTCCTTGCTGTTTGGAGGTAACTTTTCAGTGGAATATTTACAATACAATATTAATGAAGGGTTACCCAGTTTTTTCTTGTCATACCATGGTTGTAAGCATGAGAATAGCCTGAGCTGAGTATTTCGAGTCTGTCTAAATTTCACAAGCCTGAACTAGGAGTTTATTTATCATCTTTCCCTTCTGATCACCTTTTTGAATTTTTCATTGGGAAAAATAGATGGTTGTTACTTGGTGGTTCTCAATCACACCAGGCCTTGAATCAGATGTATTACTAGGTTAGTATCAGTACTTTTGGTTTTTTCAGATTTTTGTGTGTTGTCTGTTTCTTGCAGAGGTTGATTTCTATGCTGTCAGGCAGATAAAGCTTCGGTTAAACGTCAAGATGCGGTGAGGAGTCTAGGAAATCGTTTTTTTTTCACCCTTATGTTCTGTACTTATATTCCATGTTTATGTCGTGAGAGAGATTAAAAGGATAAAACTTTCTGCTTGGTCTAAGAATATTATGTAAGAATGTATCTCAGTAGCAAAGTGGGTGGCAACTCATGGGCTAACAAATGCTTGCATGCTACTTATTTGAGGCATCCGTGTTTGTGCATAACGTGTAATTTGAGGCATCCGTGTTTGCATCCGTATATTGATGAGACTGACTGAAGGAGAATATAAGAAGCTATTATATTATATGTGAATTTATATGTTTGGCAAAGAAGAAAAAAAAGGTCAAGGTGCAGGATTGTGTTGCAGCCTGGAATGAGCCGGATCATCTGCTGTTGGTAGGTAAGTTTAGTTGAAAGGCTCTTTAGTCTCTCCCTATAAACTCTTAAACTGACTGTTATCTCAGCTGTTTTAATCTTCATTGTCTTTGTAATGCAAATTTAATGTGTTATTTTTTTAGCATGATCCTAACCTGAAGTCATGTTTTTATATAAAACCGTAAAACTCTGTGCTTTGTTCATATTTTTACGGTGAACGAGCAAATTGTGTGAGCTACAAATTCAAATTTATGTTAATTGTGTGAGTTATAATATCTTTTAAAAGTTGAGTTTATATGTAAATCTATGTGAAACTAGACCTGAGTTTTAAATTTATTAGAATTTATATTTTGTGTGAATTGTAAATAAATTTTATATAAATATTAATTTTTGTTATTGGGTTCTCAGAGCTGCAAAATTTTCTAGTGACATTCAAGGGTTCAGGGGAAAGTTGGTTTGAATTCACTTAACGACACCGTTTTAAAATGTGTCACAACTTTACTAACTGTTCATGAATTTCTGATGTACAATGAATAATTTATTTATGATCTATATATAATAAAAATTAATTTTTTAAAATAATAATTTATAATTTCAATAGAATATTAAAAATTTGAGTAGTAAATATTACATTTCATATTAAAAAAATAAATAATTATTAATTTTTATATAAAAACTAACGTTCTATCATTTTAAATTTTTGAGACTTATGATTTAAATTCAAAAAGTTATTGAATTTTTAGTATTTAAAATTTGAAATATTTTAGAAAATAACTTAAATTTCTTGCATATTTGTTTATAAAATAATTAATTATAATGTTTATTCTTATTATAAAAATAAAAGTTTATTATTATATTCTATTAAAAATAATAATATAAGTAACACAAAATTAACTATAAAGGGTACTTGTTCATTAAAAGAAAGAAGAAACCATACGGGGTGCTTGTATTTTTTATTTAAATTTACTTTTAAATATCATATTTAAAATGTATTAAATGTGTGAATAAATAAATAGTTGAATATACTTTAGAAACATATATAATATATTATTAAATTAAAGTTACTGTGTTTAAAAAATATATTTTATAATGTAATTGACAATTAGAAAAGAAAGAAGCGTAAAATAAAATGAGTGTTTGTGGCGGCTAATGATTACGAATGTGAATCCATTGGAAGAAGCTTCGTCCTTCTTGTTTGACTTGGAAGGTACAGAAAAAAATTCCAAAACAACTCAACCATCTCTAACCCTAATTCGCATTCCTCACCTACCATTCTCCTTCTTTTCACTTCAATTTCTGCGTTGAACAATCAATCAACACTCTCTCTTTTTTTTTTTTTTTTGCTTTTGATTTTACATCCCACAAAAACCACAAAGGAACAATGAGTTTCCAAGATCTTGAAGCTGGTATACGGCCTTCTTTGCGACACAAGGATTCGGGGAAGAAGAATAATCAGCTCCAAGAGGACCCTTCTCAGGCTGTGGCCGCTGGGATTTTCAAAATCAACACCGCTGTTTCTTCTTTCTATCGTCTTGTTAATTCTCTTGGCACCGCCAAAGACACCTTGGAATTACGCGACAAACTGTCAGTTGTTTTTCCCTCTTTTTACTTATCTGCGTCTTTCTTGTTGCCTCTATTTTATCTTTTCCTTTTTGGTTGGTCGTCAATTTCAGTTCTTTTGGTCAATTTCATTCCCTTTCTTTTTCGGCGTAATTTCTTGGGGGTAGTTTTTTGGACGAAATTTTTTGGTGATATTAGTTCGAGCAGAATTGGGACTTATATTTCTCAAATTTTGTTTTCTGCAACATAATTGAGAAAACGATAATAGTTCGACCTGAGTAAACAGTCATTTTTAACAAAACTATTTTTTCCCTTTTGGTGATTATCATTGTAAGTTTGACCTGCGTACCTAGATGCAATACATAACTGGGTTTGTTATTTCATAATCTTTCCTGCTACATGGGTGGGAGGTGGAACTAAAAACCAATTGACTTCCTTTTCATTCTCCCGCAAATAAAATGTTCGCTGTTGTAACAAAACGCCAGAAAATATGATAATCTTGATTACCTTCCGCATGTAAGGAAAGGCATTTTATTTCGTCTCCTGTAATATTTATATCAATTAAATTTTCTGGCAGGCACAAGACGAGGCTTCAAATTGGGCAATTGGTGAAAGATACTTCCGCTAAACTCAAAGAAGCTAGTGAAACTGATCATCATGCAGATGTTAGTGTAAGTGAATGAGCATTAAGCAGCAGAATTTTGTTCTGTTAGATAAAAGAAGCTGCTTTTTCTTCAGAAGTGGGCATAACAAGCATAGTGTTCCAATTCATAGTGAAAAAAAAATCACTGGATTTTGTTGCTCCCCGAAAAATTTCATAGTTCTTCCTACGCATTAGAATATCCAGATTTGAATTTGGTTTTGCAGCATCAACCTGTCACTTGTTTGTGGTTCTGAATTTCTAGCATTAACCTGCAGCCTATTAAGAAGATTGCTGATGCTAAACTTGCAAAGGATTTTCAGTCTGTTCTTAAAGAGTTTCAAAAGGCTCAAAGACTTGCAGCTGAGAGAGAAACAACCTATGCCCCATTTGTTCCCAAGGAACTACTTCCAACCAGGTAACTTTTACTAGAAGGCTTAGTCATGCTATTTTTCTATATTGTCATTGATATTTGGTTTGGAGTCATTGGGTGCTTAATCATCCTCTCCGAATTTTACAAGAGTAAGATGTAAAATATGTAAACTGTGGGAACTAACATTCAGTTAATTGATTTTTTTCATAAAAAAATCAGACTTGTTGTATCATAAAATTTGGTGGGAAATACCTGTGTAGAGAAAAGGACAAAGATGAATGTATCTTATTGTTCTTGTGTCCAGAAGTTTTGCCTTTTCATGGTAGCTTTTTTTCCCTTTTGGTTGACTTCTGATGAGATATTTTGAAGGATAAATTGGGTTGCTGAAGTTCTGCCAAAACTCTGTTGCTTTCTGCATTTGCCAGCTGTGAGAGAAATTAGAAAGGTTTTCATCTATGGCTCAAGCCTATTCTGTTATCGACCTTTGTGTTTTAAAAACATTGATGTTAGTTTATCAGTGTCTTACAGGAATCAAGTAATTGAAGCAGTTTCTAGTTTAGCTGTTGATATGCTGCATAATCTGTTTAAGTTATTGTCTAACAGTGGCTAGTAAGTGTTGTTAGACTTTGTACATGGGCGGTGCCCCCTTGGCACCTGCATCAATATATCTCATACTTCTATTTCAAAAAATAAAAAGTAAGTGTTGTTAGACAATGTTTTGCAGATTGAAAACATGTATTAGTTTTAGTGATATCAATACTGTCGGTAGCTTATTTAACATGACAAAAGTTCAGATATCACTTATGTCATTGGATTGGAGTATTCTTCTGAAGTTACATGAGGTACCTTATTGGCATATATGCCTCCTGTAACCTTGGGACATAATTTACTGATCATTCTTTATATTGCATGTTTAGTAGCTTATTGGCCACCAATAGACTTGTATCTTTTATCTTATACATTTTATTAAACCTTGCAGCTACACTGCCCAAGAACTGGAGATAGGTTCTTCAAGGAGTCCTGAGCAACAGACTTTTCTTCTAGAATCCAAAAGGTGAGCAATTTTCCAGATAGTACTGTTTTATGATGCATATCCACACACCGCTTACTTCCTATCATCTAAAGAAGGTTCATTTTCTTTTAAAGTTTATGGGTTGAGATGAGCTCCATATCAGCAAACTTTGTTTGTTGCATCCTTTTAATGCACAGTTGAAATCCAAAAATCACTTTACATAAAAACTTTCCTAAATTTAAAATAAAAACTTTCTTAATGATTCAAGGGTCCTACGTTGCTAGTACAGAAGGCAGACTTTTCTCAGTTTCCTGCAAATGCTGAGTTAGAAAGTGTGAGCTGCCATTTTGAGAGCACTTTGTTGCTTGTTTCTCAATGATGCAAGTAACATTTTGATAGGAAAAGTGAGAGGCTAAATTTTAAAATTTTTAGTATGATGGGTTTTGTTTAGAAAAAAATTATAATATTTCCTTTTTAGTACAAGGGAATATTATTTAGTATCATCAGAATTATTAAGTTTTTATAAGAAATGGTTAGTAGTTGAGGAAATTGAGTCTTAGGTTTCTTTTTTCATATTTTAAGTGGGATTTTGGTTTATTTTTAAGATTATGTACATCATCTATATAAAGGGCTATTATTCTTGGTTTGAAGTAGAAGATGGATTATGAATTAATCACAAAATTTGGGATTTTTTTGTATTCTGTTATTTCTGCTTTCAATCCTTTCCTTTTCTTTTCCTTTCTTGTTTTGCCTCAATTTAGCATCAGTCTAACTTCTATTCCTCATGCTTTCATTTGTAATCTGTCACATGCTACCAATTTACGTAAATTAACCTTCAACCCATGGTACCCTCGGTGTCTCTTTACATTGTTGTCTCAACTAGGAAGTCCATTCAAAATCATTGAATTTATGAAGGTCATGGGTCCTTCAACTGGAGAGAAATCTAAAATTTTTTTTAAGCAAAGATCTCAATCTTTAGATAACGTTTGGGAGAAGATGGTATCCTTTTCTTCTCCTTTGGACTGAAGTCCATGGCTTCTCCATGGTTACTTATTTATCTACACTTTCAAAAGGATTAGGTTGCTATGACGTATTAATACTACTTTTACTTTGTTTCTTTTTCTGTTGGATGATAATTAATCCTCCTCTAGTTTGTAAGTTTTCTCCTCCCTTCTAATAATGTTTTTTCTTTGGTTAAAAGCAAATTATGGATGTTGTCGACTTCTATGGTGGTCTTTCTTGGGGTTTCTAATTTTGAAATCTACCATAATATGTGGATAGTTTTTTTTCTTTGATTCAACAACTAACTATTTAAATTATTATTATTATTTTTTGCTTCTGGTTATTAATCTATCTAATCTTATCTTGTTCATTTTATTTCTCCCTATATTTCTTCATCCTGATTCCCAGTTTCCTCTGGCTTATTTTTATGTATTTGTTTCGTATCTAAATTTCCTTTATTCCACTATTTTTACACTGCATAGAAAAGAACAAAGGAAAAGCTACAGATTTTCACACCACATCCAGCAAAAAGAAGATTCAATCATAAAAAAAATCCAAATATCGTATTGGATCCTGCCAATATCACAAGGCCAAAAAACCTTTCTTAAAAAGAAACTCTAATTGTTATTCTTGCCTTTCCTTAGAGAAAAAAGAACTAAGATCCAAAAGTTAAGAGTTGCACCAATCCAAAAGTTAGAAGAGTTGCACCTACAACCTGCCATCATTGGCCTCGACAAAGATTGCTGGCAACCTCTGAGTGGTGAAAGATACTGCCATCATTGTTATGATCTGATAGCTCCAACCAGCCTTGCCACCAAATTTCACTTGTTGATTCTACTAGAGAACATTTCACTTGCTGCCGAGAATCATCGTCACTTCGTAGATCTCTGCTTCCCCATCCGTCATTTGTGAAACCAACCATTGAGATAGAACCACCAGTACAGGACAAACCCATAGCAGGAAAATTTGACCAATATAAACCGTACAGGAGACAAAACAGAAATGCCTTTTCTTACATGCGGAAGGTATTCCAGATTATCATATTTTCTGGCGTTCTGTTACAACAGCAAACACTTTATTTGCAGGAGAAGGAAACAAAGTCAAATTGGTTTTTAGTTCCACCTCCCACCCAAGCAGTAGAGAAGAAAACATAGGGATTGGCTAATTAAAAAAATGGAGATTGAGGAAATGACGAGATGAAACTAAAAGAAATCAGGAGGAGCAGGGAAAATTTCAGAAGAAAAGATGGGAGGACGTAGAAGAGAGGTGAAGAATCAATTGCAGATGGCTTTTGGTTAGAATGAGTGAAATGGACGAACTTTTAGCTTTGGTAGGAGTAGAGGCGAGAGAGGCAAGGGAATCCATAAAGGAAGAGAGGAAATTGATTTAGAGTGAAGAGAGGTTTTAGATTAAAGCGATTCATTGAGAGGAAAAGGTAGAGAGAGAATATATAAGATTTGAGAGAGGAGAAACCTAGATTATGGAGAGAAATCTGAAGGCAGCATTGAAGATGGTTTGGGGAAGAGAGAGCTTGCAGTGAAAACAAAAAGGGGGTGTTGTGATGATGACCTTTGATAGAGAGTGGGTTGAAGAAGGAAAATGGAGGCCAGAGAAGCTGAAAGGAAGAGAGAGAAGCTAGAATATGAGGGTGAATGAGAGGTAGCAATGGTGGGTTCTAGAGAAGAGCGGAGGAGCTAGTGATTCTTTTGATAAACAAAGTAAAAGAAAAGAAGAAAGAAGATGAGGTCAAAATTGTGGTACATGCTGAAAGGGAAGCAGGCTACAGAAGAAGAAGGAAGAAAAAGAAAAGAAAAGAAAAAGAAAAAAGAGCAAAGATATTTTGAGGGATGAGAAATGAGAAAATCCTAAGATGTGTGCACGAGAATTTCATGCACAAGCTCCATCTTAATGATCATGAAACTAATATATGCTTTATTGGTTTAACTTCTCAAACCTGTCATTTTTCCTCAAAGTTTTGATCCAAGATTTTGGACATCGGAATCCTCAACCACGTTATAAATCTTTTTTTTTTCTTTAACCCATAATCCTGCTATAAGAATGATGCCTTCAGCAAATATTTCTGGAAGGTTATTTCCCTCTCTCTTGTTAAGGTTTCTCTTTGAATTACAGGTGTCAGTAGGTTTAATACTGATTATTTGCTCCAAGTTTGCAATTTGAATCATGTTCTGTCTCTGGGTTGTGTGGTGCTTTGTGAGGTGTGTGTCATAATCATCTTTTTTTGCACTCTATTATGGGTTGGAGATTTTGGGCACATTTATTTGATACCTTCGATGTTTCTTGCATTACTCGCCAAATCTTAAGTGCTTTATTTCTTCTTCTCTTCATGGTGTTGGCAAGGAGTTAGTTTTGCTTGGAGAAAGGCTATGTTTGCTGTATTCTGGGTTTGTTGGTTGGAGAGAAATGGAAGGATCTTTAAGCTCTTTAGTTTTGTTTGTTTTTTAAATGAGCGTTTCTTTTGAGTTTACTTGTTCTCTTTCTTGCTCCCAGATACAGAGGTTGTTAACTTTTTATAAATCTAAAAAAAGTACAATTCTTCGAATTTATAAGCTACAGATAAGCTTCAGCTGTCTTAACATATAAATAACAAAAACTTTTTATTGCTTTTTGAATGTTTAATATCTTGCACTTGGAAGCTGCCTTTAGTCTTTGATTTTTCTAACTGCATGCAGACAAGAAGTTTTACTCTTGGACAATGAGATCACTTTCAATGGAGCAATTATTGAGGAACGAGATCATGGTATTAAAGAAATTCAGGAACAGATTAGTGAAGTAAATGAAATTTTTAAAGATCTAGCTGTCCTAGTTCATGAGCAAGGAGCTATGATTGGTTAGTGCTATCTTATTTATACTTAAAATGGCTATGTTTTTGAATTTGTTAGATTGGTTGTTTGAGTTCTTTGCTGGCCTTTCATATATTTGGTTTAATAAGCATGTTATCCTTGCACAGATGACATTGGGTCTAATATTGAGAGTTCTCATTCTGCAACTGCCCAAGGAACCACTCAACTTGCGAAGGCATCCAAGATTCAAAGATCCAATTCATCAATGGTATAGTTTGATTGACATTCATTTTCTTTAACTATCATTGTGCGCTATTCCTTTTTAATCTGATATGCAGAGAAAATGGAATCAGGCATCAGAATTGTGTGATGGGTCATGCTTGTTTGGAATGGAATATCTATTGCGGTTCCAAAATTACTTTGTTAAGGCTATGTTGGAACCAATCCAAAAGTTTTGGGGATGTCATTTGTTGTTTTGCAATTATTTCAACTAAAATATGATAAAAGTTCTACTTAAAATGCTAAAAGTTGAGCTCTTATGGGATTTTTACGTGGAATTTGAAATGCATTATTCATTACATGGAATTCCATGTGAGCTTAATTTTTATATTGTTCCAACAAAGTTGCATTTCTCCTAATTAAAAAAAGTATGGTTTCACAACTGAAATTTGTACAAATGATAGATTTATTCCAAACGTAATCTAGAGAGCAAGCATGACATGGCTTATTATTGAAGAAGGGAGGGAAGCAGGGAGGTGATGGACTATCATATTTTTTATTGTGGATGAATATTTTTATGAAGAAACAATCATTTTCACGCTGCTCTAGTAAGCTCCTCCACAGACTGCTTGTGACCTAATTTGTTTTTTAAATTTTATGACCATAGAACTTCTTTAGACAACTAAGTTTCTATTTTGAGCGGTATAAAAATTCAGTCAATATTTCACTGTTTAGTATTTCTGTTCATAATTGACAAAGCTATTTGAAACTATACCTAGGTGAAAGATTTCTTTCCTGTTACACATTTCATTTGAGAAATTGAAGGGAAAATGGCTGCTAAATTGATAGTAAGGAGAGATCATTCTCTCTGTTGAATGGGAAGAGATTGTTCCCTTTGTTGCAGCTTATCATTCTTAGTTTTATACCTTCCAAAAAAATCATGCCTAATTTTATCATTGTTCTGCACAGTTATTCCTGCAGGAAGAATGCTTTATGCCTCATCCATTAGTTAATGATCAAAATGCCTAAATTGTATTTGGTATTTGAGTTCCACTTTATGTTTTATAATTTAGCCTCACGGCACTTAGGAGAGCAGTGTGGCTGCTGTATTGAACTGTAAGCCAGCTGCTTGCTCTGCATGGTTGAATAATTCTATTTGCACTAAGAAATACTGGAAGAATTTTCCAATCCCAAAGCAGCTGAAAAAGTAAAATCACCCCAATGTGCTTTTTTTTTTTTGTTATTACTAGGTCTTTCCTGTAGTTCAAGATTTCATATCTCTTAGCTTCTTCTTCCATTTTAATTTCCTTCGTTCCTCTCTCTTCCTGCAATATTTTTACTCTAGGCCCTGCAATTCTTTTTCTTATCTCAACCACCATCAAATACCATATTAGAAGAAGCAGTAGAGATTTTGTATTTGGTCTTCTCTGTAGTACACTTTTCTCTGCCTTATCTATGTGATTTTATTTTCTTGCCACAACATCTCTCCCTAGGTATTTCTCCTATCCACGCAAAAATATTTTAAGATAATTTGGAATATACTTAATTTCCATGAGAGCATGAAAACTCAACTCAAAATGAATTTCACATACTGAAACAACACATTTCAAATTTCATCAATTTAGATGGAAGTTGCAATGTAGTAAGTATTTAAATTTTACTTTGAATCTTAAATTGATAAAATCCAAAATTTATTGTTTTAGTTTCACTTAAAATTTGTTGAAGATGAATTTTAATCCTGTTATGGTTGAACTAAGTATACTTTTTAAACGAATTCTACAAAAATAATTCGTTTGTGTTGAATATACCCTTGATTGACTTAAATCATAGTGTTAACTGATTGAGTTGAGAAAAGTTTGAGAGGAGAATGCTTATCTTGACCCCAATGAGGAAGAACAGTGATCGCAAACTGATGGAAAGATAGAGAGTTAGAATAGGTACATAGGGAAATTGGAAGAGTTCTAAGAGAAGGAGGTGAGAAAGAATTGAAGAGGAGAAGATAAACTTTTGTAGGAAGAAAGCTTGGAGTTTTCCCTCCTGTTCTTGGCTTATGTGGTGGTTCCTATCAACTTTGTTTGAACTCTGCAAACTGCTTGTGCTAAAATTGATTTACATTTTCTTTTTTTCTGCAGATCTGCTTGCTGATTCTGATATTTGCGATAGCTCTGATCATTGTCGTAATAGTTGTTGTGGCCTGAATGGTAAAACTACTATTTCTCGACATGGATTCAAAGGAGGATGTACATTTTGATCTTTGCCCAAGTTTTGATTGGCTGGAGCTGCTTCATAACCAGTGTTTGCCCCATACGAAAGGTGAAAAAAAGAGCAATCAAGATCTGTTCGCGGATGGTGATGAATTGGATTATACCCGTTATATTGCTCTTTGTTTCATTAATTAAATTTGAAATTTAAACTCTCTGCATATCCTTCGCAGTAAGTTGACCACTTGTTTCATAGTTATACAAGATGAATTGGACTGTATCACATTGAATGAAAAGTGTCTGGTTTCATTTCTCTTTAAGAAAGGGAGTAACATTGTTATCAGCGAGGAAGATGATGACAGTCCCAGGAGTCAAGCCACTTCGCCGGCATCAGGCATTGGAGAGGAAGGTGTTAAGATCCAAATCCGTCTCTAATAATTTCTTGAAGAGAATCTCTATCGGAATTGGCGTGCGCTCTCCGGTGAGTGGAATCGCAGAGAGTAGGAAACCAGTATCTTGTTCTTCATCGTTCTCATCAAATGTGGTGGGATTTTCAGTGGGTTTCTCATGCCCCATCAGACGCGTCTAAGCGCTATAAATTTAATATATAATACTTCAGACTAACCGGTTAGTTAACTATATAATACATAGAATTATATACTAAATACTAAAAGATGAAATACTTTGTTTTTAGATCAATTTAAATATTCTCTAATAGTGTTTACATTTTTTAAAACGATGCAATGATTTATAATTGATAAAAATATTTATTCGTACTTCATTTTTAACAGATTATAATTTTTATATAATAAAATTTAAAATAATTTTTATGTTATCTCTATTTATTTTAATATTTTATATATATTTTTTTATAATTTTAACCATTCTTAATGTATGAATTTTCTGAGTTTGATAATTTTTTTTTTAAGTACACGATTAAATTTATTCGTACAGGTTTATTTCGGTTCGGTTTTCACACAATTTTAGCTTTGATGTATGACTCTTCTAAAACATAATTAAATTTATTCGTGTTTAATTTCGGTAATTATTTCTTAATCTTCACATAATCAGACAATTTTCCAGAAATTTTAATCTCTCACGAAAATATTAACTGCGCGGTGAAATTTTCCGAGAAACAAAGAGCCTCAAGCCATGTGACAGCCAGCAATGTTCTTCCACCTCGTGATCATCCACACTCAACCTTTCCCTACAACCTTACAAAATCATGCTTCTACATATTGTACCCGTAGACTTTTCTAAAGGTACAATCTCTATGTAGCATACATTTCCGACATCGCGGACACAGCAGATCACATTGGATGAAAAACGAGAGAAGAAAAAGAAAAAAAAAAAAAAGGAGTGAGAAAACGAAATTAGCGATGAAGAAAACTCTCGTTTGAGAGGCCATTTCCAGAATTGCTAAGAAATCTACACTGAAATTTGCGCCTGATACCTGAGAACTGGTGCTTTTCTCCGTAAATACCATGGCGGTTGGTGCCGATTATCTACTTCTATTTCTTTGTTTCTTATTTATTTGTTTTGGCAGTTTATTTTCGTGATCATTTTGTTACTCTGCTTGAAGAAAAGGGATTCGATTCATCAGTTGTTTCTCTGTTACTAGAACTTCATTTTCTGATCTAGGAAAATGTTTATTAAGGAATCTTCCCTATTGTTTCGTTTTTCCTGGTCTGGTTGACTAACGAGAATGCCTAGAATAGGAGAGGAGCGGAAAATTCGATGCCTTATATGAATGTGTTTCCCAACGTTTGGATGGATAGAAGTGTTAATAATATTTGATTCAGTTGATAAATTATACTCTTCTTTCCTGTGATCCGTACAAAATAATTTATTTTTATTTTGTATAATTTTCATACATCTGGTAGATGATGTGCTATGTTTGTTAATCGGATGTATGTGTAGATACATAGCCACCTTTGTGTTTGCGTATTGGTTTTGGTTTCTCATTTCTGTTGAATCTGATTGGTCTTTGTTTTGTGTTAGTAATTTTATTTCATGTGAAGTGACGAGCAAATATTTGTTTGATTGTCTCCTGTTTCGCTCTTGAGTTTTTTTGGTTCCTTGTAACCTAAGATGCGAAGGTGTCACTGCATGGTACTGAAATTTTCAAAAGTATTGTCAAGGTCTTATCTTTGACGTTGAAGGTAGGTGTTACGCGGTATTGTCTTGATAAATCGAAGTGCTTTTATGTGGTGTTTACAATTTTCTGTGCCTTCTTTTGTTGCTAATGAAGTGATTGAGGATGTTAAAAGATGTAAGGGTGTGGTGTTTAAATTGGATTTTAAGAAGACGTATGATAAGGTTAATTGGCCCTTTTGGATAAGGTTATGAAGAGAAAAGATTTTGCAATTGTTGGAGGATGGGGATTAGAGGTTGTCTCTCCTAAATTTCTTTTGCTTTCATGTTAATCTTGAACCTAAGATGTGGAGTTAAGGGTAGTGGGGTTTAGTCGAGGGAATCATCTCTCTCTGTTCCCTTTGGTGGTGTGGCTGTAATGGAAACTTGCGGTTCTAAGAAAAGTTTATTCAGAGAGTTAAGTGTGAGGGAGGATGAGATTGAGATCTCTATATCTATTTCATCGATGAATCTATCCTTTTGCTGGCCTAAGATAGTAATATGTTTTATAATGTGCTTCCCATTCTGTAAGTGTATGAGATTATATGGATGTTATGTACTAAACTTAGTAAGAATATCTTAGCTGCATTAATATTGAGGATCTGGTTATTAGGGGTTTGGTTGAGACACTTGGATGCTGCTTTTTGGCTTTGTTCGTTAAGCCTTTTCAAGCTTCTCTTCTTTGCTTATACTCAATTCAGTCTCCAGCTGAACCAAACACAAGATTATCTCTATTTAATTTATGTTAAATTGAATCAAATTACTGTATCCCAATCTTACACTCAATTTAGTCTCCAGCTGAACCAAACACCAGATTATGTCTATTTAATTTATGTTAAATTGAACCAAATTATTATATCCCGACTATTATTAATTAGTATAGAAATGACCATAGAGCATGAGGTGTTGCGGAGACAAGCCTTTTTTTTCGTGGATTCTGGGTCATTTAGTAGGAAAAAATGGGAGAATCTTGGCTGTGTTTTCAACCACTCAAACGGTTTCGGAAAGGATGATCTTCTTTGCTTCCCTTTGGACTAAAGCTGCAGGTTCTTTAAGGGGATGCCTTTATTGGATCTCTATCTTGTCTTAAGGCTTTCAATTTTTTTTTCCTGGGCTCTATCTTTTCATAGTTAGAGAATGTCTTATTTGCTCATCTTTTATACCTTCTCGTTCTCTTCAGTTAAGTTCTTGTATTATTTTTTTAAGAAAAAAATGGTTAGTTATACTACAATAAAAGCACCAATATAAGCAGTTAAAGACTATAAGTTGAGCCCAAACAAATGGTACCAATGCCTTGGCCTATCTTTTGGCTGGTTTATGGGTCATCTGGTTGGAAAAGAATGCCAGTATCTTCATGTGTGACTTCAAATGCATATCATTGCTTGAGGCTAAGGCCCACAATTTTTCAAGGGGTTAGGAACTAGATTTCTATTTTGTCTTAAGGTGTTCTATGTTAGTTTTTGTTCTTCTTGTTTATTGTTTTGGGATGAAGGATATCTTAAACTCTCCTACTTTGTACATTCTCTTTCTCTTCAATAAAGTTTCTTTTTTCTTTTATATGTATAACAAAATCTATGGCTTTGAGGCTTTGGGTTAGCTTTTTTACACCATTGGTGCGAGACGGTTTTGCCTTTCTTCCTTTAAAGGTTTTATTTTCTCTTCTCTTTGTGGCTTTGGTGAGAAAACACAGCAGAAAACGCTTAAAGCAAGGACTAGTTTTGTTGGGTTTTTGTGGTTTATTGAAATGTTAGAGTCATTGAAGACAGTTTCCAAACCCAGCATTGTTTAGAGATGGATTTGTTTTCTTGATGTCTCTTTAGGTTAAGGTGAATGGTCTCTTTTTGGTTGTTCCGTTGGCTATTTTGCAAAGAGATTTTGGAACTTTCTTTTATCACCTATGTTTCTCTCTTGTTCTCTTTTATTTGTCGTGGCACTCCTTTCTTTTTAATATATTTCACTTTTTTTCCCAAAAAGGAATTTTTTATATATGTACCCTTGGTAACTTGATTTAAATATGTGGTAGATGAATCTGGATGATGTTTTGGTCTCTAATTGTTTTCTCTTTGTTACGACAGATAAGAACAGTGAAAGTCTGCAATCTCTCCTTAGGTGCATCTGAGCAAGATATAAAGGAGTTCTTCTCCTTCTCTGGTGAAATTGAATATGTAGAAATACATAGGTTGGTTAACTTTACATATTTGTGTACTAGTTTGCCTTCTATCTTCATCTATTCTTCTTATGTCGCAGAAGGTGAAGAAAAATGCTGTAGTTTTGAAATTTAAAGCCTTTTATTTCCATGGGAAATGGTTAGTTTCTTCGCTAAATATTCTTCTTTTTATGGATACTAAACCTTTATTTCCTCTGTTCTATTATTGTCAGTGAGAATGAACGGTCACAAATTGCTTATGTTACCTTCAAAGAACCACAAGGAGCTGAGACTGCTGTGCTACTTTCAGTGCGTTCATATCTTGATGCTAAATGATCTTTGTTTCTTACTTTTTGTTTATTTTATTTCTGATATAACTTCAGTTTTGCCTACAATCATTCTTTGGTTATCATATGCATTATGATTGATGATCCTGAAATTATGTTTCAGTAGTGCATTAGAACTATTTCATCTAACATTGGTGGCAAATTTCTTCTCTTTTTTGTTTCTCTTCTATAGACATTTTGTGCTTGGGTTGCATCACCCTTGGCCTTTCTTATAGGCTATTTCTTTCAGTGTACACGTGAAAGAATATTTACTTGAAATGATGAATTTTCATTTTTTTAGTTGGTAAAAGCAAATGAAGGAAAATGGCATGAACATGTAGGAGAGGGTGTCAATAGGGCTAAACATGAGAGAAAATCCTAACGAACTGACAAAAATTGGAGGAGTTTTTAAAAGGTATGTGATGTCACACGGCGGAATAGGTACAGAGAGAAAAAATTAGGAAGAGATAAATTCAATCCACAATTACAGGGATTACTAACAACGACAATCAAGAATTTGTCACAACCGCAGTTACAAGGTTGTTAGACACTCTATTCAATGAGAAAAGTTAACAGTTTTTATTTTTAAACAGTCTGCTTGATAGTGATAAAGCACTTATTTATTTATTGGGTGACTACATGGGGTGTTATATATCTAGAGTTCATAATAGGAAGTAGTTACCAAATAAAACTCTTGCTAAAAATATAATAACTCTATACTAGTGAGTTTTATGCTAGTAATACTCTAGGAAGAATTCCTATTTCTATGAAAATACTTTTGAAATAACTTACATGGTCTAGCATTATTCTCCCCTACTTCAAAAGAACTCAACTCTGATGAGGAAACCTAGATATGTTCATCAAGTAAGCTAAGATACATTTTGGTGAAAAGTATCTTCTGTGACTCACCTGCCTGGATCTCCCAAATAAGGAAATCCCTGAAGGGAAGTTTGTGGAATGCATAATGTAGTAGCTCCAAACGAGTATCCATCATGTATGACAAAATCTATCTAATATCTACCATGACCAACCTTGACATTGTGGTATATAATGCCAATCAGGATACATTTGTTACTCATCCTTATGATTTGGGACTCATCTTGTTAATGCAGCAACTACCCTGCTAAATGCATTGGCAGTTTTGTTCTCAGTAGCTAAATGGTTCATGAGGACGAAGTTATGCGTTAAGAAACTCGACCTAGACGGTATGCCTATGCTTAGCTCCCCTAATGGTTATGAAGACTTGCCTGAGATGATCCAAATGGTCGCTTTTAGACTTGCTATAAATCAAGATATCGTCATATAAACTAGTAAGAAGTTTCGAATTTGTGTTGGGTTTTAAAGGCAGTCTTCTTTTTGTCAAAAGTTTGACCATAATCTGATGGCATCCACCGTGAGGATCTATCTTGGAATATCGACTAGGACCAACTAACATATCCAGCATGTCCTCAAACCTAGGGATAGGGAATCCATACTTAACAGTTATCTTCTTATTCGCTCTACTGTATATGCATACTCTAAAAGAAATGGCTATTGCATGTCATGGGAAATTGCAGTCAATGTTTTAGCTTAATTAATCTTGCTTAGTTTGGTTCTAAGTGGGAATAAAAGCATCCTGCCCCTTACAAATTCTCTTCTCTCTGATAAATATCTACATGCTTTCATGCTTTATCCTTCACCTTTTCTTTTGTTGGAACAACTTTGTCAATTTCACTCTTGACTATATGGCTCTTTCAATGCAAGTAAAGTTCTTTACTGGAGAAGAGACTGAATAAAAAGAAAAGAAAAGTGGAAACTAGTAGTTTTATTGCTCATTCTAGTTCTGTTTAGCTTGTACTATTTTCTACTAATTAATGGTTCTGATATATTCTTCCAGGGAGCAACTATAGTTGACCAGTCTGTTACTATTGAGCTGGCGCAAGATTACCTTCCGCCAGCTGGTGCTTCAGCAACACATGTTGTAATATCATTAATTAAGGCTTTCTTCTGTAAGATTACTCACTAAAGGACGATTTTTAATACAAGTAACTTGGTTAATCTCCCAGGTGACACAGAACAGTAGTTCAGATCGTGTTGAAACTGTTGTCCTGGGGGCAGAGGAGGTAGTAAGCAGCATGCTTGCAAGAGGATTTATTCTTGGCAAAGATGCACTCAACAAAGCAAAAGCCTTTGATGAGAAACATCAGTTTACTTCAACTGCTAGTGCTAAAGTCGCTTCTCTGGACCAGAGGATAGGTTTAAGTGAGAAACTTAGTGCAGGTACAGTCCTGGTGAATGACAAAATGAAGGAAATGGACCAAAAATTCCAGGTATCTGAGAAGACCAAGACTGCATTTGCAGTTGCTGAGCAAACAGTCAGTAATGCTGGCTCTGCAATCATGAAGAACCGTTACATATTGACAGGGGCATCATGGGTTACAGGTGCATTCAATAAGGTAGCCAAGGTAGCTGAGGATGTAGGTCAGAAAACAAAAGATAAAGTTTTGGCTGAGGAGAGTCAGACACACCAAGCCCAAGGTTATACTCAGCTTGATGAGTTTGATTCCCCAATAGCTCCCGGGAATTCACAACCTTCCAGGTCCTCATCTGCTCAAGGTTTTATCCGCTAGCTTGTGAGATTGTTTAACCTTTTGTAAGATTTCAGGGTTATACTTGTCCATGTCGTTGTTCTCTTTTTGAGTTGGTATTTATTTCAAATGATGACCATACAGGACTTCGTTTGTGATATTACAGCATTGTATCATTTGAAATGTTGAACTTACCGGACATTAGTCGATAGATGCCAGTCGGACATTACACCCTCTGTATGATAGTGTTGTTTCCTTCGTTCTTTTAATAATTTCATTTTTTATGGAAATGGTTGCTCTGTAGAACCTTTTTATCTCTATACATACGAGGGAAGTGTGTAATGGGAGAAATTCACTGAGTTGTAAAGGGCTTCAATGGGTTTGATAATCTTCTATTATATACAACCAAATGGTACATGAAAATCTCTTCCAATCGTCGCCATTGATGCTGGAATGATGTAGAAAAGTTAGTCTGTTCGGAGAGGGACGCGTTGGTTGGAAGGAGAAAGTCCGAAACGCTTTTGGCCGGTTCATCGCGTTCAATAACCGATTTCTTTTCAACTCCCTACCTCTGATTTGTGACACGTGTTGTTTTTTCTCCCTCTTATTTTGCCACGTGGCCCGGATCAATTCCAGGTGGAAGTACACGTGGAGCGTGATCCGGTGTGGTCAGCTCCATTTTCCTCTCCCTACTTCCGGTTTTTTTACACTCTGCAGCCGGTACCACCTCCTCCTCAGTGCATCTTTCTTCTTCCTTTCTGTGTTTTGGGGTTTCTGGCACCCGATTCCTAACAAAAGCATGCAAGTTTGATTCAAAACAAGTAAAATAAGAATATAATTAAAGGCAAAACCACACCATCAATATTATATATATGTGTGTGTGTGTGTGTGTATCAATGCAATTTAAAATTATAACTAAATCAAACAGCGTACAATATAAATGAAAAACATGGGATGTGTTAAATTTAATGATTTTTTCTGTTGAGTTTAAATTCAAAAAAAAAAAAAATCCACCATAAAGTTGTTTCACGGAAGGATACGTAAAATTTCATGCGATGTGTATGCATGATTTTCGGTCGATCTGATTTGATCGGTTGGTTGATATAATTTGTTTAAATTTGTATTTCTATATATATATGCTGAAATAAAAAAAGAAGAGATTACTTTTTCTCTCCAAAAAAAGTGCACACCTCTTCAAAAACAGCAAAACAGAAGCAGTTGCATTAGCTTGCTCTGTTTTGCTGCCATCTCTCTCCTCAACTTTCTCTCTCTAAATTTTCTCATTCACAGAGCCTCCTTTGAAGCTTATTCGCTTCCGATCAACAAGTGGTATCAGAACCGTTATCTTAAGGGACCGGTAAACCAATATACCCTCAAAAAATCCAATGACATCCACTGGAACAACACCCCCTCCACACTTCAATGGAGAAAACTACCATGTATGGGCAATCAAAATGAGAGCCCATCTGAAAGCCTTAAGTCTATGGGATGTTATTCTGGATAACAGTGATCCTCCTCCACCAGGGGACACTGCCACTATAAACCAAATCAGAAGGCACGAGGAAGATAAAGCCAAGAAACCAAAGGCAATTGCTTGCCTTTTCTCGGCAGTTTCAGATAGGGTATTTTCAAGGATTATGAACTTCGAATCACCAAATGCTGCTTGGGAGAAACTTAAGGAAGAGTTCGATGGGGGAGTCAGAAGCAGGAAGGTAAAAATCTTGAAACTAAAGAGTGAGTTTGCATTACTCAGAATGCAAGAAAATGAATCAGTGAAAGATTATGCATCCAAACTCTCGGATGTGGTAAACAAAATGAGACTGCTTGGGGAGGACTTTCCAGAATCAAGGGTAGTAGAGCAGATTCTTATCAGCTTGCCTCCCAAATTCGAGTCTAAAATCTCAACCTTGGAGGAGCTAGCAGACATAGAGTCTATCTCCTCGGCTGAGCTGATAAACAAGCTTCAATCCAGTGAGCAATGTGTAAATATACATGTTCGACAACATACTGAGGGAGCCTTAATTTCAACTCAGATCAAAGGCAGCTCTTCAACACAGAATCAAGGAAGAAGGAGTGGATGGAATCAAACTGGAAACCAGAATTCCAGTAAACAAAGAAAATATTCTCAATGTAATATCTGTTCTTTAACAAATCATTCTGAGAATGAGTGCTGGTACAAGGGAAAGAAAACCGTTCGGTGCAATTTTTGCAAAAGGCTTGGCCACAATGAGAAATTCTGTAGATAGAAACAGAAGCTGGAAGGATCACAGCCAAAGCAGGAACAACAACAAGCCAATGTCACCAAGGTGTCCTGTGAACAAAATGACACAATTCTTGATGCACTAAGTAAGCTGCCAGTGGAGGATGATACTCTTTGGGTGGTGGACAGTGGATGTACCTCCCACATGTGCAAGGATGAGAGCTTATTTGTATCACTTGACAGAACAATCACAGGCCAGGTCCAACTTGGGAATGGTATGCTGGAAACCATCAAGGACAAAGGCAACATAGCCATTGAAACCAAGGAAGGCAGGAAGCTTATCACTGATGTAAATTTTGTTCCTACCCTCTCACAGAATCTACTGAGTGTGAATCAGATGACTGATCGAGGCTACTCGGTCGGATTCAAGGATAACTGCTGCAGGATATATGATCTTGAGGATCGCTTGATTGCTTTCATCCAAAAGAAGAATCAAGTCTACTCCTTGAAACTCAGAGAAGTAGTTGAGAGGGCCAATGTTGCCTCTGTAACTGAAGGTGAGATTTGGCACAGGCGCCTTGGGCATTTTCATACGGCTGGGCTACAACAACTGCAGAAGAGAGGCCTAATCAAGGACTTCCCAAATATTGCAGTCACTGGGAGAGTCTGTGGTGCATGTCAGATGGGGAAATTGGCAAGAAATTCATTTCCTTCGCAAGCAGATTAGAGAGTAAAAGAGAAGCTAGCACTTATCCATTCTGACATTTGTGGTCCAATGACAGAAAACTCCATGAGTTGTTGCAGGTATTTTGGGTTGTTCATAGATAATTTTTCCAGGATGATTTGGGTTTGTTTCCTGCAGAATAAAGCTCAAATTTTTTGTGAATTCAAGAAGTTCAAGGCTATTGTAGAGAAGGAAAGTGGCAGTGTACTGAGGTGCCTAAGGACGGATAATAGGCTTGAATTCAATTCCAGCCAATTCAATGATTTCTGTTATGAGAATGGGATCAAAAGGCAGCTCACGACACTATATTCTCCTCAATAGAATGGTGTCTCGGAGAGGAAGAACAGAACCATTGTGGAAATGGCAAGAAGCATGCTTGCTGACAAGCACCTGCCTAAAGCCTTGTGGGCTGAGGCAGTGAACACTGCTGTGTTCCTGCTCAACATACTGCCTACAAAGGCTGTAAAGCAGATGACACCGGCGGAGGCCTGGAGTGGCATCAAACCATCAACTAAGTATCTAAAAGTGTTTGGATCCGTGTGCTACTGCCATATCTCGGATGACAGGAGATCCAAGCTAGAAATGAAGGCTAAATTGGGAGTATTTTTGGGTTACAGTACTGAAGCAAAAGCATATCGAATTCTAAACCTGAAAACCAACAAGCTTATGATTCGAAGAAATGTAGTAGTGAACGAAAACAGCTAATGGAATTGGGAGAAGCAGAAAGTCGAATAAGACTGTATCACAATTGAAGAAGGAAAGAAATCAATGACAGTATCAAACCCAACTCAAAATGATGAAGAAGATGAAGAAGGTGAAGCAGAAGAGAGAATAAAAATGAAAAGTCTAACTGACATCTATGAGAGGTGCAGCTTTGCCTTAAAAGAACCTTCCTCTGTTGAGGAAGCACTTCAGCAACAAGAGTGGGGACTTGCCATGGAAGAGGAAATCAGGATGATCGACAAAAATAATACTTGGTCTCTGGTAAAATCAAGTACAAACAAAAAATCTATTGGAGTAAAGTGGGTGTTCAAAGTGAAACTCAATCTGGACGGGACAACAAACAAGCACAAGGCACAGCTTGTGGCAAAAGGGTACTGCCAGCTTCCAGGAATCGAATACACAGAGACCTTTGCTCCTATGGCCAGATATGAAACAATTAGACTCATTCTGGCCATGGCAACTTAGTTTAGTTGGAGTGTGATGCATTTGGATGTGAAATCGACCTTTTTGAATGGCAAGGTGAATGAAGAAATTTATATTGAGCAGCCACCGGGGTTCATTCAACCTGGAAAAGAGAGACACGTCTATCTTCTTCACAAGGCCCTGTACGGCCTCAAACAGGCTCCACGAGCCTGGTATGATAAGTTAAATACATACTTACTCCACTGTGGATTTGAGATTAGTCGGCTACAGTGACAGTGATTGGGCAGGAAGCGTAGAAGATGCATGTAGCACAACTGGGTACTTGTTCAAACTAAGCTCCGGTGTTTTTTCATGGGCATCTAAGAAACAGGATACTGTGGCCCAGTCCACAACTGAGGCTGAGTATGTAGCCGCAGCTACAACAACTAACCAAGCAATTTGGTTAAGGAAGGTGTTCAATGATGTAAAGCTGGACAAACAAACACCTACAGTGTTGTATGTAGACAACAAGTCTGCAATTACCATTGCAAAAAATCCTGTAATGCACAGGAGAACTAAACACATCAACGTTAAGTATCATGCTATACGTGAGGCTAAGAGGAATCAAGAAATAAATATGATACATTGCTCCACTGATGATCAGCTTGCAGACATTCTAACCAATGCCTTGTCTAAAGCTAAATTTGAGGAATTGCGGGAAAATGTGGGGATTGGTGAAAAAAGTCATTAAGGGGGAGTGTTAAATTTAATGATTTTTTCTGTTGAGTTTAAATTCAAAAAAAAAGAAATCCACCGTGAAGTTGTTTCACGGAAGGATACGTAAAATTTCATGCGATGTGTATGCATGATTTTTGTTCGATCTGATTTGATCGGTTGGTTGATATAATCTGTTTAAATTTGTATTTCTATATATGTATGCTGAAATAAAAAAAGAAGAGATTACTTCTTCTCTCCAAAGAAAGTGCACGCCTCTTTAAAAACAGTAAAACAGAGGCAGTTGCATTAGCTTGCTCTGTTTTGCTGC